AAATCGGTTATGAGAGAACTGATCTTAAAAATGATACTTTTAAGATCGGTTAAATTTTAACCGATCTTAAAAGTGTTTATATTATTTACAAAATTGCCACCGCGTCACTTTTAAGATCGGTTATCTTGCAACCGATTTTAAAACTCCAATTTTAAATCCAATTTTTGTACTAGTGTTATGTTAAATTTAAAAGAAAGATCATGTTTAAATAAACTTATTAAGTACTTATAGAAAAATAAAGATAAAAAATTAAATTGTTTCTATAAGTTAAAATTAACTTTATTTATAAGTTAAAAAGTTAGCTTATCATAAGTTAATTTTAAATTATAAAAAAAAAGTTATTTTATTTTATCTTCTTATTTCTTAACCTATAAATATTTATTAAAAAAGTATATAAACAAGTCCAAAGTATGATTTAATTTTAGTCTTTAATCTTTTGAACTGAAATATTCGCATATATACTACACCAAGTAGAGTATATTGTGAGAGACTAAAAGACATCAAATAAACTATGCATTCAATGTTTTAAAGATTAAAAAACAGAAAAAACGAAGTAGGTAGAAAGCTGAAAGTAGTTAAGTCATTTTTTAATCTATTTGTTCGTTCTTGTGGGTTGGTGTATGTATGGTAGGGAAAACAAAAATAAAAAAATTACGATTACTATTGAGGATTCCCAATGTCAATTGGTAACCATTCACCACCCTAATATTATTATAGGCTTGCAATGTATTTCCAACACCTTTCCTTTAATTAACACCACACGTATTACACCAAAAAAGAGAAAGAAAGAAAAAAGCACCATACATAACATAATTGAAGTTGGGGAAGTTAAATTAGCAAGGATTGTTCAATGTTCTAACAAATTCTGTCGTTAGTTGACCCAACACTTACCTAGATGTTCGGTTTAAAATTATTTTTCTTTGAGCGGATATAACTGGAGTAAAATACAATTTTAAAAAATCGTAAAAGAATTGTTTAAAAGACAAAAAGATTTAAAAATGAAAAATTTTAGAACTTAATTAAATGAAATTCTGTTTTTAAAGAGATAAAAACTAGGAAAAAATAACTCAAACATCATCTCAACCATTAATTTTATTTTATAAAAGAAGAGAAGAGAAAAAGAATAATATAATTTCTATAAATCATTAGATTCTTCGACGGCTTAAAACGAATATAGGATAGGCGACATGTTAATTTCACGGGATCCAGAATGAATTGGAGATTTATCTATATAAAAGAATTCTATATATATATATATATAAATAGATAGATATAGATATGAGAGAGGATGTTTCAAATAAGAAATTTTTTAATATAAGAAATCAAATTTATTGATTATAATCATTAAATTAAAATAGATAATTGTGATTAAAAGATGACAAGTATCACATAGTGGTGTTAATTGATAAACACAATTATAATGATAATGGTGTGTAGTAATTTTGTTTATAACTTTTTAATGTTAGTTGTTTATTTTACTCTTTTTTTTCTTCTTTTTATTATTAATAATTTTCATTTATTTGAAACATCTCCTATACATATATTTCACAAAAAAGTATCTTTTCATCACTTTTAATTGTTGCATGTTCTATAAAATGAATTAAATATTTTTCTTTATAAATACAACATAAATGATAAACTCAGCTTCGTAAGAATGATACAGTTGGTTAAATCTTTCCGCTATTATTTTTTAATATTTGAGACTAAATTTAATTTTTATTATATTTTATATCTTTTTAAACAAATTGACATTAAAGATAAAATAAACTATCAATAATTTTACTTAAAAATCTTTCAAAAAGTTGATAATTAACTCTACCTTTACATCTGGGGTGTTAATTTGATATTGCCTTCAATACTTCATTCATAAAAAAAATTAAATAAAAATAGCCTACAAAAATGCAACAAAGATGGTAGTATAGTTAAGCAGCATGATACGTGCCTCATTGGGAAAGCAGTGTTGCACCCTTGTGTGTGTTAGGGATATGTCGTTCTCTCTACACTTGGACACCACACAAAACTAGGACCTCAAAACTTCAATCATTAATACAAATCGGGGAAAGGAAGCGTTAAAAGTGAATTTGAGCTGTCATGCCTTATATTATAACCTTATAAAAGTTTAAGACATGATAGGAATTGCCATATATAGATTGTATATAATATTGTCTGATATGCTGTCCCTGTTTTCGTCTTCCCACTTGTCTTTCAATATCAAAGCATTTATTGGGCATAATAGATATTTCGAAAATAGAATGAATATTTCATGTTTCTTTGTTTAATGTGTGAATCGTTACAAACTTCTTTATATGATCATGAATTCAAAGTTCATGATAAAAATGAATGAGGGTTTTGCACTTTTATAATTCATAACTTTGAAGAAGATGATACCATAAAACATTGAGTTATCCACGTGCAAGCTACATATTAAATACATGTTTTGGAACTTTGTTCCATGACTCTAAAGCAAAATTAAATACATGATAAATTTTATTTATATTAACAATTAATAAATGTCAACATTATTTTCTGGAGTAGTTCTCAAATATCAGGATTAATTAGTTTATACTAGTATGGTTGTAAATTTTATCTGTACAACTTACTTTAAGGTGGATACTAAAATAAGTTATTCATATAAAAGTAACAATGTAATTGGCACACATGACACATCTTTTTTATATGGGGGTTGTTACATTCTTTTTAATTTACTTTTAAAACGTTTTTTTTTATTATTTATTTATTTTTTTACACTTTTTACTATTATCAAAAATGAATTAATAAAATGAAAATCATAAAAAGAATCTAGTAAGTGAGTTAGCCGATTTGAAAAGACTGGCTGATGGGGTAAATAATTTAATGATTAAATTGAAGAAAAAAATGGTAACTCCAAATAATCTGCTCAAGCAATTGAAATTTTACTGGGGACTAGGTCATACTTTTTTTTTTCCTATTTTTTTTTACTATGAACAGTATATTATGCATTCAAGTACAAGTTTTTAACCAAACATTGTACTATACTATGACGTTTGGTTGTTTTTCTAAGCAAATATTATTATATGATTGGATACCGATTTAAAATTATGTTCAGAAAAAAAAATTCCAATGTAAAAAAGTTAAATCTTAAAAGTTTTTATTTTATTTTTTTAACTTCAGCCGAGTTTAATTCAACTTATTTTAAAACACATTTTATGTCATTTTAAAAAAATTTATGCCAAGTTTTGTTGTGGGTCCTCTCTGTCCCTGTAAAAATACCAATCAAGTTTTAGAATATATATATTTTGTTGCAATCTGGCTAGAGATTATAATATTTTATTGAAATTAAATACCACACGCTTGATTACACATTATAATTTAATTTCAAATATACTATTATTGTATCTCTAACCCACTAGGTAATTATGAGATGTAAATCATGTTTATAGACAAATCAACCCACTAAATTAAATATTGGTTTTGGAATATTTTAACCGTTGTTGATTTGAATAATTTTAACACAACCAATATTAAACACAAATTTACTGCTAAATACTACTAAATAGACTATCTTCCTAATGTATGAACATATAATATTTTATTTTGCTCATAAATAATGGACATGGTTTATATAATATTTAATATTAATAATTAAAGACTAATCTATGTATTCTAATCTTATTTAATGTCTCAAAATTGATCATGCCAAAATCTTAAATAGAGGGCACTCACTTTAAGTCATTAGAAAACTAATATTTTCTTTGAATCATAATTTTTTATGTATAAAATTTTTGTCCATTTTTCATGAAATATTTAATGTTAATATGTTGAATTTAAAATACTCTCATGTAATATTTTTAATATATAAATTAAGAATAATTATAGAATATGAATAGTATTTTATGTGAAAAAGTAATTAATATTACTTAAAATGAGTAAACCATTAGGAAAAAATTTGGAACTGAAGAGAGAACCTAAAAGATAATAAATTATGTTGCGGAAAACGTATAAGCATGAGGCACATGATCAAGTCCTAACCAGATGACCCTTTATATGCCTTTGTGGTTAAAGTCTGCAACCACTTTTGAAATAATCGAAGTAACTTTACCTTTTTGAAAAATCAAATTTCCACCTTTAGACAAGGAATTAGAGAGCTTTATTGTTTATTCCACGGTTCATGGGGTTTAATGCAGGACACAGTGTAGCAATTTGAATTCTGATATTGGTAGAGTGAGATCAGAGGACATTGTTCCCACAATTTAAAATAGTGTACGGCATTCAAACCTTTTCCTCCACCTTTGAACCGTGAAGGTTTCTCAATACTAACTCAACGTGTGCGTGGGTGTGTTGACGTGGAAAATGGGCATGCGAGATCTTAAAAGCTGCATGCTCTGTCTTGGGGATAAGCACAAACCAAACCCTTTAAAATTTGTGACCAAAGACGTGAAATCTAGAGCTTGTACTTAAAGGGCAACTTCTTTTGGGTAAAAAATATCCAAAGTTCAATAGAAGAAGCTGTCAGTTATTGCATATGATGCTGATGAGGGACCCTTATGAGTTTACTATTTATACAATTTTGTGCAGTTCTATGTCTTGTTCCCAAACTACTTCAGGTTTACCAGGGTACTGAATTTTAGATGCAAATTTGGAACTTAAAATATATTTAAATATAAATTTAGAACAACTTTTAAGAATTTACTTACCAAAAAATACTATTTATTTTTAATAACTAAATAACAATGACTAAAATGACACAAAACCAACATGCCCTAACTTTTATTGTTTTTCTGTACACATAAGAAAACAATCTGTGTAGAAACCATTCTACACGTTTACCTGCCCATGACCCTACTAAGTCTCTATGCAGTTCTGCAACATATAATAAAATCATAAATTAATTAATTCCGTTTGTGACAAAAATTCGCCATGCCCATTTTGTTTTCCCACGGACAAAAAGCCACACTTGAAAAATTTAGCAATAATCATCATTTGCATAATTACTAGCAATGTCATTTGCTTTAAGACCATCATGATCAAATGTTCATTTGCTTAGTACTCGAGTCCATTCAACTTACCATAATATATTACATGCATAATTACACCGATAAAAATTTATGTGAGAAAGCAAAAGTTTCAAAAACTAATCAAGAATTTTATCCACCTTAAAAGGCTTCAAAATTGAATATTTCAATTTTGAGAACCTTATGTATGTGACCGCAATTGCAGTTGCATCAGCTAGTTTGAAATTGAAATCATATTTGCATACAATCTCAATTGCGAGACCAAGTATGAAACAAGGTTTTTGATCTTGCTGCAATTGTATCGGAACCGAATTAGTCGCAATTTCTCACACTATCAAATATTGTGACAGAATTGCAACCAAACTTACTTAAAATCTTTAGAATTTGTTACTACCTTGGTTGAGTGAAATCAAACCAAATTTGCTTGAACACTTTGATGATGAGGTCATGATACTCATCTGAATTGAGGGAAAGGTAGCAAGCAAGTAGATCTTCCAAGTCCTTGGATGCCCTTATGTTGTTCTCCACAATCATCTCCACCATGGATTCTCTGAAATCCTTCTGTGGGTCAAACGAGGACTTCACTATCGCAAAGCTACCGGAGAGGCTTCTCCGGCAGCCCGGACTCGCCCTCCGC